TGAAAACTGCATGGACTCGTCCAGGCAGTCGCCGCAGAATCGGTAACGATTGAGTGTGGATTTAAAAAAAAAAGATACTTGCCCTGTTGATGCTTTTAGATTTTTTTATTCAGTTGGTGCCTCAACTTTTAGAGGTATTTTCAGAAATTAAGACATGCTTTCAATGTATTGTCACAAATATGGTGTTGAAAAAAAGGGGTTCCATTGATGCCAGTTACAGCTGTGGCCAAAGAAATGGCAGTGAAAACTTGGCCCCCTGAACACAACACAAAAGAAAAGCACTTTTAGGGCAGGTCCTATATATCTTTTACATGGACACAGGAAAAAAAAAATTTCCCAGCAGGAACGTTAGTAGTTCTACCCTTCAGTCTAGGATCCTCTGCAGGAAATGAAATGATCTATTAGTGGGATTCTAAAAAAAAAAAAATGTCTTTTTGATGCCACTAGGCGGATTTGCATATTTACAACTGTAGTTTCTATAACAATAACACATACCTAAATAAGACATTTTCCCTTTGGGTTTTTTACCTTGATTGCATTGCTGGGGGATGAGCATGAGTCTTTGGTATCTTCAAATCCTCATGTTGTTATTCTTCTAGCTGCTAAGGTGGGTTTCAGGCATGGAACATCATTTACTGGTGGATCTACTTCTTTCTGAAGAATGGGTGCAGGGGACTGTTGTTCTACCTCATGTCCTTGGGCATATATCATATTTTTTTTAATGTTAATAGAGATCTGCACTAGTTTTCTTGCATTTCCATTGGCCAACACTTAAGGAAACGGTTGAAACTCTGAAACAGTGTTTGAAGTGGTTGAGTGTAAACATACAATAGAGAAAGGTAACTCTGGAAACACAGCTGGGAATACTCTTGGATTTAATCTTTTTAAAATGGCAGATCTAGGACAGCTCTTTATTCATTCTGTCCCTTTATGTAGAAACATCAGATCTAGCTTCAGTTGTTGTTCTGACCACCTCCAAGTTGGATTGCTGCACAAGATTTTATGTAAGAGTACCTTGAAAATTATCTGCAAGTTGACTCATTGGTTTCTAGACTCAGTTCAAGGTACTGGTCATTATCTTTAAATTGTTTAGGAACAGAATATCTCAGATGGTTCCTTATGAAGCTGCCTGGGAGTTCAGTTTTTAGTGCTGAGGCTCATCTCTCCATTCAAATGCCCACCCACCACTGACATAAGTGGGACAGGGTGTTTCCAGGGGCTGGAAAAGCCTCTGGAGAAAGATTCATTTAGGAAGGAAGTGAAGACCATAGTTTCAGCTGGCCTTTAGTAATAACTTGAGCAGAGTTGTTCTCCATAAATATATGTAATCTATAGTTGTATATTTGTTCTTGTTCAGTCGTTAAGTCGTGTCCGACTCTTCGTGACCCCATGAACCATATCGCGCCAG